ATGAACTAAGAGTCCGTTTGGCTTAGCTGATTTAGAATAGTTGATAAGCTATAGGTGCTGAAAAACACTTTTAAGTGTTGAAGCTGATTTAAAAAATAAGCAGTTACGTGTTTGGATAAAAGTGCTTAAATTAATAATAAGCAGCTAAAGAACTAGATATACGAAGAGTTTTGTTTTAAAAAGAAGTATTTTAGGGATAGAATAGTAAATATTTTGGTCAAACCTAAAGTGCTTATAAACTGAAATTTGATAAGTGTGTAGATAAGCCAAAAAGTGCTTATAAGCCAGTTTGACCAGCTTATACGCTTAGCCAAACACCCTGTAAATAACTTCAGCATCTTCTGCTGATGTTTTTGAAAAAGCTTAATGACAAAACTAATGAATCCAGGACAAAAAAAACTTCAGCTTATTTAGTGCAATTACAAACCAAAACTTCAGCAAATAGAGAACAAAACTTCAGCTACTATGCTTAAGTTCAGCAATTACAAACAAAAATTTTAGCAAACAGAGAACAAAATTCAGCTACTATGCCTAAGCTCAGCAATTACAAACAAAAACTTCAACACACTTGGTTCAGCACACTTGCTACTCCAGACCCGTCTACTAGAATGCTGAAGTTTTGCGTGATTGTCTTTGCTACTTCAGCCCCGTATGCTGAAGTTACGCGAAAAGTGGGTATGCTTGCAATTGTTTTTGCAAAGCGAACACAAGTTAAAACGTGACCCAAAAAGCGGTATAGATGCAAAGTGCCCCTATTTTATTAAATATGACATAAGACCATACTTTTCTTCTGAATAAAATGCTTTTAAAATATATGTCATTTTTTGGAAGACGAAAAAATCGGAGAAGGTTTACTTAGGACTTCATCAAAGATGTCATTAAAGCTCTCCCTTCCTTTCAACCAGCTGAGTTTTCTGAGCAGGCGAATGAAAGATATCTACTTTGTATGTAGTTTTGGTCCATTTTGCTTTTGTACTATTGAAGAATACTTACACTTTTGTGAACTTTTGTAATATCTCAAGGTAATGCAATGTAATCTAATTCATATATTCTCTGGACCTCATAAACTTCCAAAGAGTGAAAATCTTCTTACTTCCATTTTGAAGATTTGATATTCTCATGGTAAAAATCTATTCAAATTAGAGCAATAAAACTTTAGATACTCCGTTGTTAGGTAGCTGTTTGAATTGGCGTGTACGTTAGGACGTTTAGAGGGGGAAAAAAAAAATTGATCTTGAGTTGTTTAAGGAGTAATACATTTACAGCTAAAGAAATCATTAATTTTCTAGAACAAATAAGGAATGAAAATGCACTTGTATACACATACTTTATCTATGAATGAATTTAAATTAGTCAAGTTGCCATCAAATAATGCATCATAATATATGGACATTCTTGGATATCTCATTTATTATTTTAAGTAGATATATATATTAATGAGGGGCGGCCCGACCAATTTTGTGGCCTAAAGCCAAACTTTACGAGGTGCATTAACTTTTTAATTAATTTATTTATTTATTTAAAATCTATTTTTTTGCTTTTCTTACATACAAAGTTATAAATAATTTTCTTACATAATCAATAACTCCTAATAAGTATTTCTCAATTGACAATATAACTAATCCATTTAACCTTTCTTGTGACATTGTTGTTCTTAGGTAAAATTTTATCAATTTTAATTTTGAAAACTTTTTTCCGTTGAAGCAACGGTAACATGAGTTATTAACATTATTCTATAAGCAATATAGGCATTTGAAAAAAAAATTAAACCTTTCTATTTGATTAAGTGTATCAATTAAATTGTTATCTTCTAATTGTACTATTTTCCTTAATACTTTTAATTCAGAAAATAAATTTAAACCATAAATATCGAATTGATTATTATGCTTTAACGAACATCCAAAATTAAGGCAATGTTTTTTCAAATTTCCAACATCTAGGGTGTGTTTGGTATGAAGGAATTTCAATTTTTCCATGTTTGGTTGGCTTAGNTATTATGTATAAAAATAATCAACTCTAAAGGACTCTTCGAAAGATTTTGAGATTTCATTATCAATATTGCATCAAATTGTTACTTCCTATACATCACATATTTTTTGCGAAATTGGGGTTTGATATTTATTTCAAGTGCAATTTCCTTGGTAGAAATCATAGCAGTTGCAAATCCTTCTTTTCTATATTTGTTAAAGAAAAAAATCAAACTTTTTCACTTTACAGAACTCTTTTTTAAACTTATACATAGTCTATTAGCTGTGTAACAAAAAATAGGGCCCTCATAAATATGGGGCCTAAAGCTGTTGCTTTACTTATTTTATGAAAGGGTCGCCCCTGATATTAATGATAAAATATCATTAAATTATTACAATATTCCTTTTTGTTCTTATTTAATATTCACTTAATGAAGTGATTCTCTTAAAAAGCACCTTCTTCCCATTCAAAGAGTACATAGATTTGTTCTAAAACAATTGCTTAGTTTTTAATAATTAAAACCTTATGCACTTGTATTAGTTCGTTTTCCCTTTATGTTGAACTATACCTTCTAAATGCTTTTGAAAAGTTTTTTATTTTTTTTACTTTGAGGAACAAATCATTCTTTATTTACAACAAATGTTTTCTAGGAAACTAACTTCGCCAGCTTTGGTTTTGAACTATCCTTTAATTATCTTTTACTTTAACTTGTTGCTATTAAAAAAAAAAAAAATGGGAAGTCAAAATGGGGACTACGTTTCAAAAATATCATGCTACATCTTTCTGCAGCTACTTTGCAACACCCATTCGCACATAACGCGAAGTTCCAAAAATACTCCTTACGACGGCAAGCAGCTACCTGAAGCTCCTCAAACTCTCCCTTATGTATAAGTAGAATGTTTGCTCAAAAGATAATGTTGTTTATTGTAAAAGACTTTTATTGGATTTAAAGTGTACAATAATAGAGATTTAATTACGTAAAATAAGCATTTCCTCGCTATTGGAAAACTTCAAAGAAAAAAGAGCATCACTGGGCCTTATTTGATTAAAGAAAGTAGATGTTTAGAGGTAATTAATTATATATGTGTGCGCGTGTGCATATACTCACACTTTACAGCTTCCTATGACGTTTATGATCAAGGGCGGATTGATGAGCGTAGGTCAACGAGAAGGACCGATAGGCTTCTAGGTTGGCAAGATTCTAAAGAAGAATTGTACACAACACTATAGGCAAATCTCACATCAAAGGTGGAGAGAAGTGAGGTACTATAGTAAACAGAGCACTAGTTGAACACACTTCATGTTCAATAATGGCGTAGCCCAAAGGACAAATCTATAAAGTCCGTTTAACCAAAGTGGATATACTTGTCATGAACTTGAGATTGTGATGAATATGGTATCAAAGCTATTTCGTGTGCTACCTTGGGTGATTGGACAAACCTCAGCGTTCAAGTGAGTTTACGCAAATTCACATCTTTAAAAAGTTGGTGAGACAAACCTAAAGGATAAAGCTAAGTCCATGAGGGTAGTGTGTGTAACACCCTAAACAAATCCAAAATGAAAAATACGAAAGAAATTTTGTGTAAATGAGGAAACAAGTTACAGACTGTAGTGATGCATGTAAATAAGGAAACAAGTTGTAGACTGTAGTGTTGCATTTTAAAGCTATGAAGGCCCAAGCCCAAAAAATAATACCACAAGTGGATTGGACTGTTACAAAGCGTTCAACTGAGTTTATACAAATTCACATCTTTAAAAGGGGCATTTGCATCTATACCCGCTTTTTGTGTTACGTTTTAACTTGTGTCCGCTTTGCAAAAAAAATTGCAAGCGTACCCGCTTTTTCGCATAACTTCAGCATACGGGGCTAAAGTAGCAAAGGCAATCACGCAAAACTTCAACATTCTAGTAGCTGGGCGTAAAGTTCAGCTCTAGAGCTGAAGTTTCTGTTTTGTAACTGGCGAACTTCAGCTCTAGAGCTGAAGCTTTTGTTTGTAACTGGCGAACTTCAGCTCTATAGCTGAAGTTTTTGTTTTGTAACTGGCAAACTTCAGCTCTAGAGCTGAAGTTTTTGTTTTGTAACTGGCAAACTTCAGCTCTAGAGCTGAAGTTTTTGTTTGTAATTGGCGAACTTCAGCTCTAGAGCTGAAGTTTTTAAAATCCTTGAGTATGTACTGCTGAAGTTTCTATTTTTGGGGGAGGAAAATTGACCTTTCAAATTCCATATTCTAAGAATGGAGATGGCTTCATTGATTTATTCTAGTAATTCATTAATATACTCGGAAACCTCATTTTCTTCTAAACAGGTCTGCAACAGTTTATCTTGCTAATATTTATATTGAACTTGCTCAGATTCCTCCAAGATAATAGCATTTGAAAGCCTTTCCTTCAATTTTTGCAAGAAATCCTCTGGATCACAAACCAAAGACATGTTGGAAGATCGAAAAGGTAAGTGACACATTTAAGAAAATCGAATAAGAAGAATCAATATACTCATATTGTCTTCAATATATATAATAAGATGGCTTCTGAGGAATTGAGTGAAGCCACAGAAGAAAAGATATTGTTACATCAATGTTAAGTTCCGAAGAGATATGGAGATCACTGGGAGAAGGAGGAGGAGAAGGGGGGCTGAAGTTGTTTAAAAAGTGGGTACAAGTTAAAAGTTTTTAAAAAAATGGGTATAGATTAAATGGGGGCGACCAAATAGGGCACCCTGTGCAATTTTTACTCTTTAAAAGCTGGTGGGATAAACCACAACGATGACATTAGTCCATGAGGATAGTGTATGCAACACCCTCAACAAATCCACAATGAGAACTACGGAAGAAATGTTGCCTATACAAGGAAACAAGCGTAGACCGTAGTAATGCATTTTACCAAATAATCAAAATTTTGCTCCAAAACACTAAAATATACTAGGATTACTTGGCAGTGAAATTTTATACTGCAGACGAGAAATTTAGAACAGCTAATTTTGGATAAACTGCATTTAGGATATAAGGGTAGTAGCACAGTAGGTTACAAAACCATTGGCTAGAATACTCAACTTTTTCCTTCTCCAAATTAGGACAGAACTTGAATGGAGGAGAATGGGAGCTTACAAGCTATGCAAGGAAAAGTATATCCAGATTGAGAGAGTATAATTCAATTTGAAGAAAATAAACTTAAATTCTATAATGTTGGACGACTGAAACAAATTTGATCTGGTTTACACAATCATGAAACAAAATAACAACAATTGCCTAGGGCTTTTTCTCCTCAGGCCACGGGCACTTCAGCCATTTCCTGTTCAACTGATTCGAGTTCAACGGGATAGTAATTGTAGTGAAGTTCTCCAACATCATCACCAGATAGCTTCTTCCATCCGTTTGGTCCAACATGATAAACTGAAACAAACCATAACAATCAATAACCAAAAGCACAGAGACACATGCAGCATAAATATTTTAGTGTAGAAAGGGGAGAGAATTCTCTCATATTTTGAATTTTAGGTTGTTTTTCACAGGTGAGGAAATGAGAAGCATACCACTAGCAACACCACCACTAGCTCCATCACGGAATGTTGCATGATAAATAGCTCGTCTTGCCAGCTCGGCAGCTTCTTCCACAGATAAATCAAAGCGGTACCTAGACAAATACAGGAGGAGAAAAGCTGTAAACTCAGAGAGCATGCAAGATTTTAGCAGTTTCCACAACTCATCAGTCCACAGAAGCATAAGGGCACAAAGAAAGGAGTCAATGACCAATTGAAACACAGTTGCACGACATTGAACAACATCCCATTTACAAATTTGAGAAGAGTACAAACAAAAATATGCTCAGACTGGCCATTAGTACATGAAGTGAAGCACTTTTCATCATATCATCATCACTGTAAAATTTGGAGATATTCAGGAGAAAGCTCGTTCTTTTCATGTAGAAGACAGATTTTGTATGGCTTAGGTCAACAACTTGATGCCGAAGCCATACGGGACAATGGCAGAAAGCGAAAATAATAATACTGAGGACTCCACAACCTATGCAATCTTTACAAATTTTCAACATTACCTTATTCTAACAGATATGAAGCTTACTAGTAGTTATCATTAAAGACTAGGAAAACATGGAAATGCTGATGGGAAATGTGGAAGCACATACCCACTATCCAAAACACCATAAGCATAAGGTGAACCAGATCCAACAGAGAATCTGTTTCCTTTAAGTCGTCCTCCCTCACTGTCCACATAATACAGTCCTGGACCCTACACCATCAAGATTTTATGTTAGTAAGAAACTCGGGGCAAGGTCACATATCAAGAATACAGGATCATCTTCTACTACCTTCTCATCCCATCCAGCAATCATAGTTCCGACCGACAAACCCATTCCTCGGTAAGAATATAAAATATTTGCCAGCAATTTTGAAGCTCCAGCAACAGAAATTCTCCTTTTGTTAGCCAGTTCATGTAGACGACACTGAATAATGCAAGAGGATAGGTCAACAGACTTCTCAAGGAAAATAATCCAAAAAACAAACTGCAATGGTTCATAATAAACATCCCTAGAACATTATTTGAGTAGGATCGACAATGAAGGAGCCTTCTCATATGCAGTCAAATTGGTCATCTATATAGGGGGCCTACAATTCAAATAGCTAATAGCAACCCGCGCATACTGCCCAAAGGGAAAAGGGGGAAATGGAAAAAGCATTGCTAAAAGAAGACTAATGCAAAGGGGCCACTAAGAAAAACTGATCAACGTTAGTTGTAGTTTTTACCAAGGCGAAATACATAGACAACTCCCTAAATTTGGCCACTATCTTACTTAGCAACCTCAGCATGATGCTTGCACCTATTTGATACTCCAACCTCATTCAATATGTGCCTATTAAACACACAAAACTGACATGGCAAAAAGCATTTCTCACTTCTCCTGGGCGTGTGTGAAATTCAAAAATCTCTTTTTTTTTTCTCTTTTTCTTTTTAAAATTTTAAAATCCCGATTTTCAGAAACTACACACACCACTGCTCTGCCACTGCCGGCACCACAAAAATCCTACCACCACACAAAATTCAGCCACCAACAAAATCCAGCCAACACAAACACCTCTAACGATCATCCAATTTTTCTTCTCTTTTCCATTCTTTCAAACACCTCATCTCCACCATCTAACNCGGGGAAGGGAGCTGGCGGCTATCGTAGAGGGGGTGGGGAGGGGATCTCTTTCTTTCAATTGGATTTTTACTCTAATTATTTTCACTAAAAAGTTCTTTTTTGATTAATTCAATTCAAAAGCCATGTGGCTTTGTCATCTATTAATTTTTGGCGAAATACAAAACAGCCCCTTTAAGTTGTCCATAACAGCAGACACCTCAACTGATCCCTTTACCATTTAGACACTTTAAGCGGCTTAAGTGTATCAAGTAACACCTCACATTGACATGGCAAGATAAATGTATTTTAGTTGCATTTGGCCGCATAAGGCTTTAATCAGACTTTTTGCCTCTTGTTTTTAGAATTAAATTAAATTTTGTATGTGTGTCCCACACTACATTATCATTTTTTTCCTCGCTCAAAACTCTGAGGGAATTTTGACCCAACATCACCCATACATCAGTAGCTCCACCACCCTAAGCTATCACCTTCCACCATAAATCCACCACCTCTCTTTCAGACTGGACGCACAGAAAGTGCAAAAAAAACAAACATAAGCTCGCATCGAGTTCAGCCATGGATAACCTTTAAAGGTTCAGCCGTCGATTCCACTTTTACACAATGGACCATCAAGGTTCAGCAATGGATAACCTTCAAGATCACTGGTTTTGGCATCACTCATGCCTTTGGGTTTTTGAGTTCCTGATTTTCCCTATAAATAGAGGAGAAAAGAGAAGGAATAGAGGGAGAATAAAATGGAATAACGGAGACTTTCTTGCCCATACCTTTCTCGCACTACAGTGCGCCAAATTTGGGCTTTGATAATCTTTTCATGGACATGAATGGTCCAAGTGGCAAACTCGACATCAATAGTGGACTTATATTGCTGGCTTAATTCATTTTTAGTAAAGCGAGAAAGCAAGTTGGATTTGCCAACACTAAAATCACCTATGAGCACCACTGACCATTAATAATAAGTTGTTAATTATTGGAATATTTTTTGTCCTACAACGGCAATGGCTTTCATTGAATTAGGGTTGAGAGAGATAGGAGGTGAGGGGGTGAGAGGATGAAGTAGAAGAATAGTTTGTTTTTTTTTGTGGTGGTTGGTGGGAGTGGGGGAGGCTGGGGAGGGGAGCTAGTCTACTTAAAAGTAAAAAAAAAAAAAGCTTTTTCTTTAAATGTATTTCTTTTGTTAATTACATGTATCGAATTTTTTTATTACAAATTATATGTGTCATTGTTTAATTGGTTCATTTGATACGTCAATGGCAAAAGTAACTCACGCATATGACCTATTGCACTTGGGTGTTTCTTTTGCACTCGGGTGTTGACCCGATATACTTCATAGCCACTTGAAGCGTCTAAATGAAAAAGGGGCCAGCTGAGGTGTCTGGCTAGTTGTTGAGGACAGCTTAAAGGGGGCCGTTTATGTATTTCGCCTTTATTTTTTCCATGTCAACACGTGTGAAATACATGCACTATATATTTTTTTACTGATAAGCTTTTGTCCATATAATATTTTATGAGACGATAGAATCTTCAGGCTATTAAAGCCAACAACCAGAACTTTGGGAGAATCTTAATCTTCAAAATTAGGGTCCAGTAACTTGATGGATAAGGTCTCGATAAATGTAATTGAACCGCATTTGGTTGTAAAACGAACTCTAGTTAGATTAATTTGCGATTTTGTAGTCCACCAAGTTCACAACCACTCCCTGACAATTTGAAGATTGTCTTAACTTTTGTCCCCAGTGGCAAACCAAGATAAGTAGTAAGGAACTGCTCCACCTTGCAGCCCAATATTCTGGTAAGATCTTCAGTAGAATTACACTATTAACGAGAGATATGCTGCTTTTTAAAAAGCTTATATGCAGCCTGAAGACTGCGTCAAAAGCAAGCAACACCACCTTAAAATGTTTTAAATATGTTCTGTCTGCATCACATAAAATTAAATGTGTCGCCAACAAATAATAAATGTGACACCTCCTAGTATATCATTTTTTGTCATTGACACTGCTAATATACAATTACAAGATCTTTTCTACCAAGGCCTAAACCCATTCTCTCATGACAGCAGCATTTAGAATTAAACTAAAATCCTATTTATAACTAGAAGAAATAAGAAGGAAGATAATGGGTCCCCTTATCCTAATTCTTTTTGAATTGAGAAGTAACCTACTGAACTTCCATTGATGAGTATTGACACATTGACAGTAGATATACTCATATCATGATTTTTATCCACTTCATCCACTTTTCTCCAAAGCCCATGTTTACTAATAAGCTCGATAGAAAGGACTACTTCAGGGTGTTCAGATCTCATCCTGTAATCCAGACACTCGAAGCCACCAACACAACACCCATAATATGCCTACCATCCACAGAAGCTTTTGTGTTTTGGATACTAACTTATCAATAACTGTCTACAATCTCATTTAGAACTTTTGCAATCATCTTGTATACACTGCAAAGTCGACTAAATGGTCTAAAGTTCTTTATCTCTATTGCTCCTTTCTTTTTTGGGATCAGTGCTATAAATGTTATGTTCAGACTTCTTTCCAGTTTTCCTTCCTTGTACAAATGCTCAAGAACAGCTATCAGATCTTCCTTCAAAATTGGCCAGCACTTCTGGTAAAATCCTGGTGATCTTTAAGAATCACTATGGCAACAAAATTAGCACTTTCCTGGTTATGATATCAACCCCAGTCCAACGCCCCCAAATACTTGGTAGTTTCACTTTTTATTTTTTGTTTATTCTAGTTACATACTCCGTGTTAGAACTTACGTTACTGGTCCTCATTTCTATCCCAGCCCAACACCCCTGAGTACTTGGTAGTTTCTATATCTATTCTAATTGCATGTCTAGAGCACACTCTTCGCCAGATGGAAAAATGCAAAAAGCCAGAAAAGAAAACATAATACTTCATAGCTACCTTGATTCCTAGGTTTCTATGCCAGAATTGGCAGTCAGCAGCACCCCCAGCCATTGTTCCAAGCATATAAGGATTTATTTCAATGATTTTCTTCACTGATTGAGATGCTGCAAGAACAGAAAGACTATGATTATTGATAATGACCAAATCAAAATAACCACTGAATTAAAAAAGACACCAAAATATTAAGATTACTTTATTCTTCTCTACAAAAAAAGAAATCTAATAACCTGAAAATTGGAAGGGACATTCCTCTAGTGAAGAACTAGATAGTTATAGTTATGACACATACAGAAAAGTAAAGATGTATTACATATCCAGAGAGAGAGAGAGAACAAAAGCTTCTAATCACGAATTAACCTGTATATCCTGATGATCACAGCATAAATCATTAGCATGACTTCTGAATAGTCCATCACATAACTATATTGAAGTCATAGGTTATTAATTTCAAGGTATCCATCACCGATCTGTTTATCCAAATTCCATGTCAAGGCTTTGGTTTTGAATAGAACAAGACCAATTAGTTTAGTGACAATGACAATAGAGTCCTGTACAGAGAGGGTGTCCTCAAAACACAAGAAAAAGGAAAAACTTGAAAAGTTTCAGCAACCTAGGAGAACTTTCACAATTTTATGTCGATACTTTAGAAACCAATACCAGCTAAATGCTATTCCACTTTCTTGTGGGAAACTCAATTGTGAATACAATTAGGTCTAGCACGTCCATTCTACTCCCTACCATTATTATAATAAGTGATATGGCACCTTAATAACTTTTCTTGCCAGCAATTTTGCAAGAAATAGGCGAACAAATGCTTTAAAAAATCTGTGGATTAATAAGCAATTAATAATTTTCTTCACATTGTTAAAAGGTCAACATCAATATTCTAAAAGTCAACATTTTTTATATTGAAGGAAAAAACTCACATATATATCCTCCCATGCTAGCCCTAGAATCAGCAGCCACCATTACACCTCCCTTAAAAATGAAAGCAAGAGTTGTGGTACCCTTTGCAGGCTTCACCATTTGGATTGCTTCTTTCTGAAAACCATCAAACTGAGAAAAACACGCAAATTAGACAATGATGAATATGAAGTTCAAATAACTCAGCGCATAGTTGATTACCAATCAACTGAATGTAAATGTCCAAGAGAAAACAATCAAACTAACATTAGTAGCATTAGGAATTTGGAATGATGGAGAACTCAGGATGCCATCACACAGCTCAGAGGACTCCCCCTTGATTGGGGCAGTCGGTTCAAGTCCGCTAAAATCAATCTTCATCATTTTACAACCTATAACACAAAAAGAAAGATTAATGACAAGCAATCTACTGTTTAATAATTGTATCATCATGCTAGACAAATTTCAAGTACTAGAAGCATATTACCTTAAACAAGAGGATCTGGATGGATAGACTTAACTTATCTAATATTAAATGGTTAAAATTTGAGACATTAGTAATTGAAAATCTGCTGATCAGATGATTACAAGGTTAAATACATTAGCTTTCAACCCAAGGAGTAAAAACTCTAAATACAATGATAAAATTTTACTTGACCTTGATAAAATTTCACTTGACCTTATCCAAAAAAAAAATGATATAACCATGGTATCCACACAAGATGGCCCAGACACCATCGTTATAAAAAAATGTTTAAAAATTGCTTTAAGACATAGGTTCGAATCCCAAATATGACATTCTATAGATTTTTTTGAATCCCTTGTATAAATCACCTATTACTCCCTTTGTTCCACTTTACGTGAACCTATTACTATTTGGGGAGTCGAATACTTCTTGAATATTTTGAATTGTCAACTATTGTGGCTTGAAGTACTTTTTATGTAGTTTCTAAATATATAGATTTATAGATTTTATTTCAAAAAGATTGAAAATTCTATGTTCAAATTCACATCCCGATACAACCTAGAGAGAACCACACCTCAAAAGCTAGTTATTAAGGTGGGAGAGCACAAGGCTATATAAACCCCACATCAGCACATTGCAATACCGATGTGAGACTCAAGTCCCATACCTTGCAATGGACCATAACCCGTCTAAAATTAGTCAGTTTGACCTTCGTACTACGAATAGGTTCACATAAACTGAAGGGGGGAGAGTAGTATTTCTTTTTGTCTCTACTGGTATTTGAACCTGGTCTCCAAGGTTCAGTCCCAGTTCATTAACCACTAGGTCACAAACTCACAATAGCATATTGGCATAGAAGCAAATAAAAATGAATATTAACTTGTCAAAATTGCAAAAGCTACAATTAAGAAGTGATATGCAGAAAATAAAGCATTGTGACTTCACTTTACACGGTATTTTACCATTAAAAACTCACGGATGAAAGAGATTAGGGTTTTTCTTGTCGTCGACAGTCGATAAAGAGAGGGAGAGAGGGATATAGACAAAATAAGGAAACTTACAACACGATATGGCCGCAGAAAGAGATCGCCTTAGAGTTCGTCGCAGAAGACAGAGATCGCAGACAAATAGCAGCTGAGGAGTGATTCCGACTTGCTGAAGAAGAAACAGGCTTGTTACTTTTGAATATATCGGGTTGGACTGGATCTCTTTGTGTCCACAGGAACCCGAAAGAAGCTAATTGGGCTTGAGACTTGTTATATGAGAAAATCGTATAAATGGCGTGGGCAGCTACTGTTTAAGCTGGTATTTAATTTTTATCCGCAATAATAGTCACTAGTCTATTAAAATTAATATGAAAAGATTGTGTTACCCTTTATTCTATCTCTTTTTCCAAACGGAAATGCAGTGTATTTATACTGTTTCATTTCCGCATCTAAGATGCGCAATCGGAACCTCACCTTCACCCATTGGTAAGGAAAGCCAACGAGAGCACCAAATAGTACGAACTTCTATTAATGCTACTGAATGTTAAATGCCTTTGGTTATAGTTCTTGTTGATAAGCTAAACAAGCATGAAGAACATAAGGGAACGATTACAAAAGCAAAAGGAGAATGGGGAGAGGTTCCAGATTTAAAAAAAAAAAATTAAGATATGACATTGTGAAAATAAGAAAAAGAGTGATGAGTAAACAGCAAATGCAATTCCTTCCCAGAAGTTAAGGACATGTGGTCTTGAAGTCCTAAAGTTAAATTCAAAAGTTAAGGACATGGTCCCGAACTTAGAGTTTCAAGTTCAAAAGTTAAGTAAATGTAGTCTTGAAGTCCTAAAGTTAAGTTCAATAGTTAAGGACACAAGTTCAAAAGTTAAGGACAGACAGTCCTTAACTTACAGTTACAAGTTCTAAAGTTAAGGACAGGCAGTCCTTAACTTACAGTTACAAGTTCAAAAGTTAAGGACAGTAGGTCCTTGACTTTGATTTCCAAGTTCAAAAGTTAAGGACAGACAGTCCTTAACTTATAGTTACACGTTCAAAAGTTAAGGACAAGCAATCCTTAACTTACAGTTATAAATTCAAAAGTTAAGGACAATAGGTCCTCAACTTTGACTTACAAGTACAAAAAGTAAGTACGTTTGGTCTTGAAGTTTGAGTTCCAAGTTCAAAAGTTAAGGACATGTAGCCTTGAAGTCCTGAACTTAGAGTTTCAAGTTCAAAAGTTAAGGACATGTAGCCCTGAACTTATAGTTACAAGTTCAAAAGTTAAGGACATGTAGTCCTGAAGTCCTGAACTTAGAGTTCCGAGTTGAAAAGTTAAGGACATGTAGTCCTGAAGTCCTGAACTTAAAGTTTCAAGTTGAAAAGTTAAGGACATGTAGTCCTGAAGTCCTGAACTTAAAGTTTCAAGTTGAAAAGTTAAGGACATGTAGTCCTGAAGTCCTAAAGTCCTAAAGTTAAGCACATGAGCAGAAGGGTATTTTCGTCCGGACAGTTAAAGTTCATTAAAACAGTGGCTAAAGACTAAAGACATTTTAAACGACGGCTTAAAAGTAAATACATGTGTTATTAGTGACCAACCGTGCACTTCCCCCGAGAAAATCTCACTTTATACCCATTAATTCTAAATTATTTACTCTTTAATGTTCAAGTCCAAACAATTTACTACTCCTACCCATGCGCCTCAAACTATTTACCCGCCTTTATTATGTTCCTCTTCTTCTTCTTCCTCATTTTACCTTCCTCCAATTCTTTGCTCAACTCCCCAGCTGTGTCAAAACCCCATTCCGAAAACATTAGTTCAACTTCTCGCCCACTCTCACCTCTGTCTCTATCTTCTTCTTTTTTAATAGTATTTACTTTCAATTTATATGTTATAGCAAAGTTTTAAGGAAGAAAATAGTTTTTTTGAAGATTTATTATTTGATTCGATGTGGTGCTATAAAATATTGCTTATAGTATCTTCGAGTAAGCTTTCCAGTTCTAAATTTTTGTGTGTATTTGAATATCCACCATTGTTGGGCTTGAAGTTCAATTTTATTTTTGAAGATTTCTTGTTTGATTCAAGGTGGGTGCTGTTAAATATTGCTTATAGTACCTTCTGAAGTTCATACTGAAATTTGATAGCATTTGGAACTGATTTGAGGTGATTGAGATTGAAATTTTCAGTTGAAAATCGAAAAAGAACACAACTTCAGTATGCCGCTACGGTATACAATATGTTGTAGGAGTATACAGCTACACTGCAAACACAGTTACCTAATAGTATACTGCTACAGTATACAATATACTATGGGAGTATATAGTTATACTGTGACAATATACTATTATAGTATACAATATATTGTTATAGTATACTATAATAATATGCAATATACTGTAACAATTTGTTGTAATAGTATACAATCTACTATAATAGTAGACTTATTACCCGTAAATTAATTTGTTTTTTCCCTATTAATTTATTTTGAGCTTTTACCCAATGTGAGAAGCAAATTTAAAATGCCAAAAAATATATATTATAGTATCCTATATAATGTAACGGTACACTCTTACAATTAGGTCCATTTAAAAAAATTTGAAATTTGTATTGACAACTGATATTATTTCAGTTTAATAATTGAATTAATTTTTTTTTTAACTCTTTGCGTTCAATTGTATACCCTGTTGGTATAACTATATACTATACTGGTATCATATGTTAGTTAATATTTTTTTGGTTGTATTAGCTACATATAATTGGTACATAATTTGATTTTTCTTTAGTAATAATATAAAAAAAGAATAATAAAAAATAGTAAAAATAGTAAATGAACTATGAAGAGAAAAAGAATATAAAAAAAAGAAGTTAAATGAAATTAGAATAGGAAAAAAGAAAAAAAATAAGAAGAAAACGAGAAAAAAGAAAAGGAGAAAAGAAAAAAAAAAGAAAAGAAAAGAAGCATAGAAATAAAAAAAAGAATTGGAGAATAAAGAAAAAATTACCCACAAAACCTACAATGGGTAGGAAATGTAATTAGTTTATGGTAGAAAAATAAATGAGTAGACAAGGGTAAATAGTTTTGTTTCTGTGGGTAACTGTGTCAAAACCCATTGTTAAATGTACGTACGGGCCGAATTTCGTATATAAACAAAATTATAAAGGGAAATTGCCAGTTATGCCCAATATTACAAATATTAGTCAATTAGATATTTATAGCTAAAGAAAGACCAAATTTTTCATTTTTTTTGAGTGGGTGTTATTAAAATAGATTGGGTACATCTTAAGGAGCTTGAATCTCGTTTTTGGGGTGATATGGTGTTTTGAGGTGGTTTGAATTGAAAAATTCGAAGTAGAAGATGAACATAAAAAAAATTGTGTATCACATATGTATCATATTTGGATCAAATATGTACCACATGTATATCCATGTATACCTCTATGTGAGATACATGTGTGGTACATGTCACATAAGAATTCTTTGAACTCGATTTTAACTACGAATTTTGATATTAAATCAGTCCAAATCACCTCCAATCTTCCTCAAATTATATATATATATATTGTATTTTATCATCTTATTTGTTATCTCATTCATGAAATTTCCTTTCCGTCTTGCATCTAATGTTATTGATCACGCTTAAAAATATGGAAGGAGATCTTTGCGTGTGCTTTTTGGAGAGAAGGAACTTTATTTATTTGAGTTTTCAATTTTATATGCGCTTGACTAGTTTTGATAAGTCTATGATTAATGGCTAGAAGTTGGTAAATTGAGACTTATTTGGGACATTTACGTAAGATTCCCAATTATAAACTTATTTATCCGATTTTATTGCATGTTTGGCCAAGCTACAAAAATCAACTTATTTTGATAAGTATTTTTTCTCAAAAGTGTTTTTTTTTCAAAAGTACTTTTGGTGAGAAACAATTTTTGTTGTCTAATTAATTTGAAAAACACTACTGAGCAGCAATTAGTATTTGGTCAAGTTTTTAAAAACTATTTGTAAGTGTATTTTTCTCAAAAGTATTTTTCAAAAAAGTAATTTTGGAGAGAAGCTACTTTTTCCGCTTCTCCTTCTCCTCAAAAACACTTTTTTTTTCTTCTAAAAGCTTTGTCAAACACATCAGTTTTGAAAAAAAAGTACTTCTATAATTGGAGAAACTTGGCCAAACAAGCTATTAGTTAAGTTTTTGTATTTTCAGAAAGTTGATATACGTTTTTTTACAAAATTTGTAAATTCAGTTAAATTGAAGCAAATTATTCTTCCTCATTTGATCTAGGATTGAAAATACTACTAAATTTGTTCAAAATCTTTACCGAATTGCCCGAAAATTCAGATATAATCTCCTTAAAGTTCTTTTAATTATTTGCCACAACAATCAATTGAAATTGAATCCAAGTCTGAAAATTTAATTTTTGAACTCGACGCTTTGAAGGTTTGTTTAATAGCGGACAATTCTTCTTCTAGTTTTCAGGCTGTCTCTTTACATAAATTCAATGGACATGATTTCAATTGAGTAAAAGCTATGCAACAATTCAAAAAAGTTTCAATTCTATAAATCCTTCATATATACTTTGCTCAACTTGAACCCAATTGGATTTAACAGTTTCTTTGAAACTAACGACACAAATGAAAATAACCTTATACTCACTCACCAACTGCTACTTTTGTAATACCATGAATATCTTAGAGTCACGATCACAACTATTAGGACAAAAATTCAAAATAAGCAAATGAAGTAGTAAATGTCGAGGCAATGCACCCAAATTATAATGGAATGAATGGACAATATTTTCCTCAAAATTTTCGGAGTAATTATATAATGTGTTGATACAAAAATAGGTCTCAAGTTTGAATTCATAGCCCCGTTATCCAAGTAAGTTCAATCTTAAAGTCTCAATTTAAAAATTATTGTAGCAGTTATAAGAGCAACATAAATCCAACCGTATAGAACTTCAAGCTTCTCGTTTCAAACCCACCAATCATCAATAAACTTAAATACAACGTGCATTCATCTTGCATATAATTATAGTATTATATTTATATGTCGTTTGCATGTCACTGTATATTCAACGATACATAGAATATATAAATAACATACACTCGACATACGCAATACATACAACTTTTTTATACATTACTGTTCTTCTTCCTCTTCGAGATTCAATGTGAAAATTCAACCAAAACCAACTTGAGTTTTCACTAAACCCCCTCAAAATTGAGATATAAACTTCAAAAGATATTCA